AGATCTAGTATACCTGAAGATGAAGACTGGTAAAGAGAATGGCTTTAATGTCATATTTTTTGCTTTCAACTTTTTTTTTTTTTTTCAATAAAGTGTAGCAACTGAGGCACGGACTCTCCATGAAGTACAAAAGGAAAAACCCTTTATTATTACAATAGTACATACTTATGCTCTCACCAAAGTTCTTACTTCATAATTATCAAATGAGCAATTAGACAGCTATCAACCTTTTCTCCCATCAGCATAAGACCACTCTAACACGCGCTGTGCAGACCAGCCACCTTCCTGTTCACATGCTGCAGCGGTAACTTCTCACAGTTCAGTATTTTTCAACAGTTCAGTGTTGCAGTTGTCTGTTGTTTTTCTCTGCCACCTTGGCACAACTCAGCAGTTTCTTACCTATCTTCCAAGGCCTGTTTTCTGTCAAAGACCAGCAGTTTCTCAGAAGCTGTGTAAGGCTGACAGGCCAATGCCTCCCACAATAAAGGCATGATATTAACAGATAATGATTTTCCTTTCAAATAATTTCAGAATTAATTTTATTTTTTATTTTTGTTATTCTATTCTTTTTGGTTTGTAAATTGTAACTGATATTTTCCAAACCTTGATGTGTTCTGAATGTCTGAATATTTTATATTCTACAAAGACAGAATGACATAAGCTCTGCTGATGGTCTGATGGGTGCAGAGAGAACCATAATATGCCATCTGTGGTCTAAGCTGTCTAGAAGTCAGACAGCCCTTACCTGGTAACAATATTGCTGTGTGAGAACAACGCTGTGATCTCCGACAGGGTGTACTAGTTTCATCACTGTGCACTTACACATCCATATGGTTTTGAGATTGCAGCAACAGCCATGGTAAAAGGGTGGCTGAGTCTGCCTTTAATAATTTTGTATAGATATGTCCTTTGATTCTGCACACATCTAGTCCCTTTAAATCAATACAGAGATGCATTATCTTGCTGCTTCCAAATGTATACTTGTGAAACAGCTTTTCTGCTTTTTAGCTAAACAATTCTATATGGTCGAGAAATTGATTCTATTCTATTGCTTCCTCTTTAAGCTGACCCCCTGACTCTGAAATGTGCCCCTCTTTAGAAAGGCAGTGTATTGCAACATTGGATGAGGTATTTGCAGTTTCTGAAAGGTAATTGCATCCCACCTTCTTTAGCTCCCAGAGTGCAAAACCAGTTCCTTCTCATTCTTCCAAGAAATCAGGAAAGAAAAAGGGGTGGTTTTGACTCCTGTGTTATTTGAGATGCTGCAAGGAATAGAAACAATCTATGTTCAAGTGTTTCCTTGAGTTTGCAGACGTATAATGAGTACTATAGTCCCACGGGAATTTGACAGACTGAATATTAAATGTTTCTGGATTAGGGAATGGTAAAGTACATAAAAATTTGCATTTTCTTCCATTCTTTCTAATTTGCTTGTACACAAGCTGTTCTTGGAAGAGTGAAAACTTGGGTGTCTAGATATGTCTCTCAGCTCCTTATTTTCTCGTTACAAGGCTTTAAAGACAATTTTGAAAAATATAAAAACCCTAACTATATGAAAATCCCTGGCTCTCAGATTGCCAGCTTGACTAAAATGTGATCTCAGTTTTTAGTACCATTGCTTTAAAGGGCAGTTGTCATGGTTCAAACCCATCAGGAAGCTAATCCCACCCAGCCACTTCCTCCCCCAGTGGGATGGGGAAGAGAAATAGAAGGTTAAAAGTGCAAAAATCTGTGGGTTGAAATGAAGACAGTTTAATAGGTAAAGCAAAAGTTAGGCACAAAAGCAAAGATATATAATGCATTCGTTCACCATTTCTCATCGGCAGGCAGGTGTTCAGCCATCTGTAGGAAAGCAGGGCTCCATCACGTGTAATGGTGACTTGGGAATACAAACACCATCACTCTGGACATCATACCCTTCCTTCTTCTTCCCTGAGCTTTATATGCTGAGTATGACACCATATGATATGGGATATCCCTTTGGCCATTTGGGGTCAGCTGCCACAGCTGTGTCTCAAATTCTTTTGCACCCCCAGCCTCCTCGCTGGTGGGGTGAGAAGTGCCACTGTGTAAGCACTGTTCAGCAGTAACTAATACTTCTCTGTGTTATCAACACTGTTTCCAGCACAAATCCAAAACATGTCCCCATAATAACCTCTTTCCCAGCCAAACCCAGTAAAGCAGTGTAATACTAAATTCTGAAGGAACATAAATTTAGTATTGATCTGTAAATTAAGTGCATTTTTTTCAGTAACTGATTTTTCAATAATTGTGAAAACACTAACGAAATCCAATTGTATTTCTTAGTTTTCATTCCAGTATTTTTCTTGTTGGTTTTATGGCCTTAACAGTACTTTTGTCCTTTCACTGGAGTGAAATCTTGCAGTTCATTCCTTCACGCTGCAATTCATGAACACCTGCCCATCTGAACCAATTGTTTATGTCCTCAAGGGTCTGAGTATTTTAGGAATCTGTGCTTCATCCCTTGAGATAACTGAGACTGCTGATATAATGACTGACAGCTGTCCTGAAAATATAATTTATTTAACAGTAAGGAAAAAAACAACCAAACAAACAAACAAAAAACCCCCAACACAACAAAACCCTAAACCAGAGAAAGGAGGATTTTAAAATATCAATATTTATATGTCTCTACCATATTTGATGTATTATGATCTTAAGAGTGAACCTGACAGACTTAGCATTTTGTGCATGATCCCATGGGTTCCTGTGTCCTGTGCTTTCTTTCCTGATGACTTCCCCCAGGAAAATTTGTGGGTTTAATAGCTGTGTATGAATTTATTCATCTGCCTAGTAGTATTTTAATCCTGAACATTTTCTGACTTCCTTCCTCCAGCATATTGAGATAGTTTGCAGGATTCTTAGAAGAGCAGAGTAAACCCATTAAATTCTTTTGTCTGGCAGCGTCTCAGAACAGTCTTAAAGCATTGACATCAGATGACTTTCAGAAAACAATCCTACTGCCCAGTAGGGATGTTGCTACCTTGGTGGATCCCAGCAGTGTTCTGAACACCTCACTGGTAACATCTCTGAATATACATTAATAATTTTGAGCCTTCCTTGAGTGATACATGAATAATGTGTCTAGGATGAGTACTTGTGTTTGCAACTAATGTAATTAAAAAGATCAGTAACAATATTCAGAGGAACCTTGACTACAGTTGTTATGAGCAACTCATCATTTTACTTACTAGTGTTACAAAATAAAAGCAGTAATAATAGTAACAGAAGAATGCAGTATAAAGTGACATTACAGATGGGAATTGTGAATGTTCTCATCTAAAACCTTTACGTGCTTACAGTCCAAAGTCTGGACCAGCAGGCATTTGTCTCCACAGTTGCTTCAGGTTTAATCCACAAATGATGACCTGAACTCCTTCTTGATTCATAACAAATATCCATAAAGTTTCTTTTTATTACAACAATTACACATTGCTGTTATGCTATCTTATTTTTTAGAACAAGATATTGATATTGATATTAAATATTTCAATACTTTACCTAACAACAAAAATCTAAAGGGAATTTCAATGACCCTTTATTTTAGGACCATGCACTATGATTTAATAAATCAGGAAATACAAAACATAGGATGATGATTAATATTGAGTTATTAATCTATTTTTATGTGACAAATAGGTTATTACAGGGTGTAAGCCTCAAACTGAGGTCTTTGTCTGAGTAATGTGAATTGATAGTAAAATCTTAATTGTCGGTAATATGTCAGCCCATTCTCACCCTATGTATTGTGAGAAGTGATGCGCATCTATAATTAAGATTTCAATAGATTTATATTATTAAGATAAATTACTGAAAAGATTTTTTCCAGACAGAAATAAGGGAGGTAGTGGGGTCATTTTGGATACTTAGATAATCATAATTAGATAATATAATATATACACATAAGAATTTAGCTGATTAATTTTGAAAGCTGAGGCTAGATTTCACTGTGAAGAATGACTGAGCCAAAGCCTTCTAACTCCAAACAACTTTGATTGCTACAGAAAACTGTTGATCTCATAATTTTTACAGTATCATTATTTCAGTCTGAAGTACTGGGTGAAGAAGGAGAGGAAGGCAAGGAAGGGACTAGTCTCAGGAGACTGATTCCATGGAGGAAGTGAGAGAAGTTCACAGGCAACTTCTGAAGAAAACACAGAACTCTCAGTAGAAGATATTAAGGTATTGTTACATTACAAATACCTTTTTACATGTTATAGGGATTGAAATGAGGCTATTTCTCTACTTAACACTGAAGATCCAAATATCTAAGTAAGGGCCCTCAAAATCTTAAGAAAATGTTTATAGGAAAAATTTCACTTGGAAAGCTGAAAATTACCTTTGTGCTCAGAAACTTCTTTGATTTTCCTCCAGCTGGTCTTATAAAAGATACTACATTGTATTAAAAAAGTTATCTCTCTTGTGTCCCTAGCACTGCTCTAATCATGATGGACTAGTACTACAACAATATGGGAAAGATCTCAAGGTTTACTTGAAAAAGAAGGAAGGGACAGCATGCTAAATTGAAAATGTAACTGTTTTGAAAACAAGCAGGAACTGCTTTTTTTTTTTTTTTTTTTTTTTAAGAGAATAAGGCATGAAGCTCCATTTCAAGAGCTATAAATTCTACTTTAAAAAAAATACCAAACAAACAAAAAAAAAACCAAACCCCAACACTAAAAAATAAAACTGTGCAGTCTTTGTTGGTGGTGTGTCTGTGTATGATGAAAAAACCTGCAACCCTGATTTTTGAAGGCACTGTAGCTTCCTCTGTTTTAGAGTCTGGCAGAGCCTGAAGCTAAACAGTACCATTATAAATCTGACAAATTTGACAGGCTCTTTACAGAGCTTACTTGTTATTATCAACTTTAATGGTAGACAAGAAAAGCAAAAGCGTACCATTCACCTCTGTCCAGAGAACCACTCTGGGGATTTTGGATTACTTTCTTCAGATGTGCACTGAAAACTTACGTAAAGAGTGGAAGACGGATTGATTTTTGGTTTGTTGGAATTTTTTGTTATTTTTCAGGTTCATTTTTCTTCCAATAAATAGCAAAATATGTGGAAACTGTGTTGCAGGATGTTTAAAACTATCTAGAGTCTCAAAATTAGACCAAATCTCATACTTTAGCTGAAATAAATAGGAGGAGGAGGATGTGTTTTGAAACGTAGAATTCTTTTCTGAAATACTTTGTTCTGATGTTTTCACAGAAAAAAATATACTATTTAGTATGTGATTAAATCTTTACTTAATGCATCTGGAAATTAAACATGTCACCTTTTCTTTTGAAAGGACCTCTCTTTAAACAACAAAAAAAGTGAATTTTATTAAGAGTATAGGAAAAGAATGAATAATCCTGTAAGAATAATCAACATTGTTTGAAGATTAATCGACTATTACTTCCTTTTTTTTTTTTTTTTTTCCCCTTTACCAACAGTTCTGACAATTGTCTGATTCCGCACTAATATTTCTTTCGCTGTGCTCTGCTCTACTACAGAACATAAAAAAAAAAAAATCCATGTGGCATGTATTTCCATGTTTGACTCTACTAATGTGTAATAAAGACCTGAGAATTTACAATGTGTAAGTAAATTCCAAATCCATGGCAGAAAAGGTCATGTGAAATGCATGAATGCTTTCGGTTACTGAAATTCAGGTAAATTTCTATGTAAGATTCAAATGAATTTAATCTAAAGAGGCATAGCACCTCTTAAATTAAAATTTTAGAATGACCTTAAACATTGAAGTCAACTTAGCTTTAGTGCTAGAGCTGTTTTGCCTGACAGGGGCACACACATCTTTTCAAAAGAATAACTAATGAAACCTTTCCAACCACACACACTTTTAATGTAGTTCAACAAGAAATGGTGGCAAGACTGCCTGGGGACAAAGTAACTTTTTTTTTTTTTTTTTTTAATCCATTTAATTATGAAAGATACTTCTTACTTCTCTTTCATATCTGTTTCTTGATTTCACAACAGGTCATAACAGGAATTGTCATAATTCTCTTTGCATCTAGTTTTATAGTTCACTTCTTCGAGTAGTTGATGTTTACAAAAACCAAGTGATAAGGAGCAACTCCTCTGAGTAAAGTGCAGATGTTCCTTTGTGTTAGGAATTAAATAAACTTATAAAATTTCCTGCAAACTCTTAGCAGCAGTAATTTTTTTATGCTTTCTCTCTGTAGACAGTTGCAGGTAGGTTTGAGTTGGAAAAGACTACAGATAGGGAGTTGAAGAGGTTTTTGAGCACAGAAGCCTGCACATGTGTGAAAGGAAGTAGAACTTCCATGTATTTCGTATAAATATTTCTGGAGAAATTTTTTTATTTGTAGACTAGTTATGTTTAAATTCAAGTCTGAAAGAACAAAAATTAATGTTCAGGATGAATAGGAGAATGCAGAAGGTAATGAAGAATGATAATCTGATGTGAATTAGACATCTAAGTGTTTGCAAAGGAAAAAGGGAAGGTAGCAAGACAAATGCAGACTAAAATAACTTTGGAGACAGCCTAGCATTTTTACATTTCATTGATTAAGGATTAAGTATTACTTTATAGGTCATTTGGTAGCACATAGTTTGGATAGTAAGTCCGATGTTTTGTCAATGCTAGCAGTTGGTCACTTGTTTACCAAATACAAACAGATGTTATTTGTGTTTTAATTTTTTTTTCAGTTCATGAAGTAAACACAGATATATTTTTTTTTGTTATTACATAAAATGATCTGCAGAAATTTTCCCTGGGATAATTTATCTTCTGAAAAACATGGTGACATTCTCAGAGAGAATTCAGAAAGAAGATGAGAACAGACAATTATAAAGATATATGTATACATAATATTATACCTCATGATAAGACATTTTCAGGTATACTATGCAGGTCATTTTCTATAGATTGCATGCATGCAAATTGCTAGAATAATGGTGAGCTTTCCTGCATGTACTGATCCAATATTGGGGAGGGTTCTTAAACGATTCCAATAGTGAGATTAAGACACAAACAAGGTCAGACGCTGTACAACATTGTAAGCTTTATTTCCCATAACAACTGATAATAGCAACAGGACAAAGAGAAGAAGAAAGAAAAAGTCAGAATACCTAAGCAAGCAAACAGAAGAGATGCAGCAAGACTAGTTTCCACTACCACAAATCCAGCGGTGTCTTGTTGTTTCAGACTTGGTACAGGTGATGGGGGTCCCTGCAGGTAATGGGGAATCCTCCGAGAGAAGAGTACACAGTCCTTTTTATCATCCCAGTGTCCATAATCAGTCTGCCCATTTCCACAGAGCTCATTGTCATAATTGCCGCCCCATGTTCCTCCATGCGTACATGCCCAGGTGATCACGGTGGTTGTACTGGAGGGGGGGTCAGCCAACAACGCCTTTAGCCTCCAAATGTCCTCCTTGTCCTCTTGTCCTGCACACAAGTGCAGCTTGGTAGATGTAGTTGTTCCAGCTCTGGGCAGACACTGGGTTTTTCGAGGATATTTTTGTCCTCTTCAGGGAGTACTTCTTCATGGCAACATGTTGAGGCCCAGTTTAGGCAGTGGTGCAGTGTTGAATCAGGCAGTTGACATGGTCCAACAGTCTTACACCACCCTGTGGCTCAGGAGGTGGTAATGACGCAACAGCAATGCTGAGACAAAACAGCTGACACACTCCCTTACACCACCCCGTGGCTTGACATTGCTGTCTTCATGGTGGCACAAAAGATAGAGGTAGAAAGAGAGAGAGAGAGAGGGCTGAAATACCGTGCAACACAGTAACAAACAATATTTCCATTCAGCATATAACTAATAACATCTTTAACCAATGTATAAGTTTACAAACATATATAACTAACAATATCCTTAACAGATATGTCATGTCTAAACTTAACTAATTTTACAAACCCAAAATATTCTATAAACTGTTTTTAAGGCTGTGAGGAACCAGTAGAAGGAGTTGATGGCAATTTACATGGTGAATATTTGCAAGGACAAAAGACAAGTATTTAAAAGAACAATTAAGGTAACAGTTAACAAAATCAAAGCTACATAGTAATTGTAAAATTAAAAAAAAAAAAAAAAAAAAAAAAAAAAAAAAAAAAAAAAAAAAAAAAAGCTGTACAAAGACATTATGGAACCTTGTCTTAAATGCTGGGAAGATGTAACTGAGAAAATGTATTGCTTTTCTTGTAAAGTCAGAGGATGTATATTTTTATTCAGGATTGCTGGCATGGACAGAAAGGTGTACAGAAGGAGCTACTTTCTCAAGGATTCCAGCAGCTTAACTGTATTAACAGTTACTCCTGGCTTTGAAGAAGCTAGTATTTGTCCATATGTTGTTTTGGAATTTCGGTGAACCTCAAACATGTTGTCTCAGCCTGTCTTATCCTGATGGAGCCAACAATGTAAAATTGCAGATACTTTGAATAGCATGTAAAATCCATCTCAGACAAGCTAGTCATTTTCATTGTGATGACAGCCTCCAGCTGAGCAGAAAAATCTGGTGCTAGTAATGATGATCAAGAACTATCAAAAATGAGGATTTTAGGCAAGATTCTTACCCTCAAGGATGAGGGAAATAAGGCAGGAAGGAAGAAAAAATGAAGGGGAAAATATATTGAAAAAAGGTGCCTTTTTTATTTTTGAGAGAGTCAGCTTTTTGAGGGTTAGAACTGACTTCCCCACACAGAATCAAAGAGAAGAATGCAATATTTGCAATAATTAAGTCTCCTCTTATAGATGAGGAATAAAGGAGAAATTAAGTCATAAATGAAGTCTCAGGGAATGCAACAATTTATTTATATATAGGTATATATGTACTTATGACTTTTTAATATGACTTTCTGGAATCTTGTTGCATGGTCTCATTACATCTTTATTCTTCCTATATAGTAGAAATACAAAACCGTCATTGCACTCCACTACTTGGAACAGCCATGTACAGAACTACAGAAATTTTTATACATTTGGAACAAGGGAAACAGAAATTAAAAAAAAAAAAAAATAAATCCAAACGCTTTGCAGAAAATAAGTTCGAAAATTTTGATAGGATAATAATATATGTTGCATTTATTACAGATGTTTGAATGGTCTTACTGTCTCTTTTTGTCACACTGAGCACTTTCTAAATTTGCCTAGACAAGATTTTCCTGCAGTATTTAATCCTTTTCAGCATCTTATACTTGTCTTAGTCTTTGTATATATAACACAAGGAGCTGAAATGCCTCTGATTTTCAGAACATACATGTTAATTAAACTTAAAAGAGAAGGAGCTGTGCATGGTCCCTGCAAAAAATGTTTTTAAAAAAGTCACCATATCACTAGATTGAAAGGGAGAAGAAAAAAAAATCACATATCAGTCTTTCAGTAGGAAGACTTGGGAATCTGAAAAAAACATAAAAGAAAACAGAAAAAAAAAAATGTTCAATTTATGTGCAATCACCGAGAGAAGAGCTGAGATGTGGGCAATAAGATAAACTAGGAAAATTACAGAAGTAGTCATGTTTGTGGGTTGTTTTTTGTTTGGTTTTCCTTCTGTTTTTTCCAGGAGTGAGAAATACCTGCCAGGTTTTTTTCTCAGTATTCTGGATTCCAACAAGCAAATAAATAAATAAGCAAAAGGTGCTGTTTCACCAAGAAAAGGTGCCTTGTCACTTGACACCCATGTGTCTCCCTGTTTTGGGTCCTGAGCTGTGTCACAAAGGGAACAGAGAACAGCAGAAATAGTGCAGAGAAGCTCTCACAGCTGAATTGCTAATGCATTTCATTAAAACCCTCAAATTTTAAACAGGGTTTCATTGTCACATGGTGAACAAGTAATAGACATTGCTCTGGGCATAATTTTAATCATTTTTCATTTGTTCTATATTGTAGACTGAGTCAGGGAACTGGCTCATTTTTAATAGTACATTTTCAGCAGTGGCATGAGTTATTGACTTTGCTTATTTATTTAGAACATTATGTGCCAGAAAAATCTCAGTGTAATGAATGTATATCAACTCCATCACCAGTGTGGGAGGCAACATAATCAGTAGGCGTAGAAAGAGTATTACAGAAATTGCAATTTACAAACAGAGTAACATATATTGACATATATATTAAAAACCATTCAACTTTCCACAACAAAGTGAAATACAAACAAGTAAAGCTTTTTATTAATAAACATCAACTGTTAAGAACAAGCTACCTATCTTCAAAAATTATGTGTGTCTACACTTGCAGTCTAACTATTGACTGGCTCATCTGGGTTTTGATTCAGAAACAACATTTAGCTAATGGTGTGAAGTAACTGCTTTAGCTCGTTTTTGTGGAGAGGGTATGGTGGCAAAGGCTTTCTCTATGTTTGTTATCTTCTTTTGTTCCACAAAAACATGAGAAGTTGTTCCGAATGACAACCCTATTACTTGACACGGATAAAAAGAAAGGAGAGCTGGTCTGAAATTTTCTCACATAAAGCATTTTCATTAGATATGATAACTTATGAAAAAAAACATTTTTGTTTTGTGCATCATATATACAATTTTTGCAAACAGAACTTTAGAGAGAACTTCTGGTCAAGGCAAGAGAGAGAGAAAGGTCAGCTAGTCTTTTCAAAGATGGCAACAGTGGGGAGCTATCCTAGCTTGCAACAAACAAATGTGCCTCTATGTGTGCTAATCAAATAAGCATAGGAAGAGGGAACTGAACTTCGATATTATGACTCTGATGTAGCTATTCATATCTCTGGACTATGGAGTAAAAATGTTTACCTTAATAATATGTACTTAGTTAAATATATAAAATCTCACTAATTAAGTTTTCTGAGTGGGACTCTTTTCAATGGGAGACATAAAAATAATCTCTTCTTTGTCTCTGCAGACTAGTCAAATATACAGTGGTTAAGATAGTACTTATTTCTTCTAAGACAGTGAAGGTATGAAAAAAAAATGCAGGTTAGTTCCTGGTGTGAAGATGAAAGGTTTAATTTCCAGTCTGTTTCATCAGGACTCTGATAGAACAAAGAGAACAAGTTGTGTACAGTGTCATTTTCCCCTCCCCCAATACCATTTTTAGGATAATTTTTTAAGAGCTCTTGGTTTCATCCCAATGGAAACTGAAGAAAAGAAAAATAAATTCATGATGTTCTGTAGAATTAGAAAATGTCTTCCGCTGATATCGAAGTCTTCTAAGCTCTTCAAAATGAGTGAATAATATTCTGCAACCTGCGTAGCATTTCCTTATCATTCTTATACACACAGGTATGGCAGGATGACAATGTCGATTTTTAATAGATTAGTTCTAACTTTGAGGTTGAAAGGAAAGGAGACCCATTTTACTTCTCAATCAATGTGAAAGACAATGTATAAGTCAAATCATCTGTTTGTTATCATAGCTTCATGAATAATAAAATTAATCATTACATCAGCTGTAGTTAACCCAATAAAGGGCAGTGAACCAAAGGCAGAAGCTAATACAATTAAAAAAACAAATGACACAATTATTGTTTTACTCAACCAGGAAAATGCATTGAATTAAACAGTTAATTTCATGTAATCAGTTGTAAGCATCTCTGTTTATGGCAACATCAGTAGCTACTAATTTACTTCTGCTTTGGGACATTTTTTTATGAGACATTATGTACAGATAAGAAGAGTTATAAATTTTCTATATACAGCTGTGTAATAGCAACATCAAGATTCATACAAAAAGCCCTCATACTTTTACAGCACTCATCTGAAATAGATCAGATTGCTTAAGTACTGACTATACTAAAGATTTCTGATGTTTCCAGTACTACCAAAACAGCATAAAGTTTCGGTGTTGACAAGTATTTCAGAAGTCTTTCTAGCACTAGGAATTAATTACTTTAAATAAATCTTTTCAGTCACACCCATAGAAACAAAAATAATACTTCCCATGGAAACATAAGTCATGTTCTTTATGATGACTTAACTATTTCTTTCCATATATATTGCTATTATTCTTCTTTCTCTTTCTTCACTTGATTGGTTAAATAAGTTTAACATACCAGAAAGAGAGAGTAGGAATAAAGGGCAGATCTCATAATGGAGAAATATCACTCTCAGAGCTCCAAAGGGGTTTCTGGTAGAACACATTCATAAATAATCAGGGAAAGGGGTGAGCAATAAAGTGACAAAATTTGCTGATGATATTAAGTTATTGAGGAGTCTAAGGACAAATGCTGACTATGAGAAATTGTCAAGACATCTTATAGTACTGAGTGGCTGGACAATAAATGGCAGATAGAATTCAGTGAGCATAAACATGATACACATGGGGAAGACCAATACAAATTTTACGTATGAATGATACGTAAAGCTCTAAGCTGACTGTTGCTGCTCAGAAGCAAGATCTTGATATTATGGAATAAAAATCTATGAAAATATCAACTTAATGCATAGTAGCAGACAAAAAAAAAGAACATCAAATATTATGACTTACCAAGGCTTCATAAAGAAAAATAGAGAACTTTATCAATACACTCTAGAATTCCTAGTTTGCCCATACCTTGCATATGGAAGTATGGGAATTCCATTTATCATGACTCCTTCATCTCTAAAAGAGAATATTGAACTGGAAAATGTTCAGATAAAACTGACAAAGATACATGATATAGATATAAAGTTACCTATAAAGATACAGAATGTCTTCTATATGAAGAAAGACTGAATAAGCCAGGGCTGTAAAAGATTACTTGGTATAACAGAGGATAAGATAAAGGTCTACAAAGTCATAGTGTCATTAGGAAATAGGGCTTAGTTGTTCACATTCCCTTCCGATGCAAGCAGTGACATTCAAAATAAACTAGTCGGATCTGATTCAAAATATACAGCAAGTGGTTCTTCACATAGCAGAGAACAGATATGTGCAGCTCATTACAACAATGTGACACTGATGATTAAATTATTGCAGGCAAGACTGATGTCATGGTTTAAGCCATGAGAAAATACAACGAAAGGCTCAGGGACTGATAAAAGGACAGGGAGGGCTGACTTACCAATTATGGTCAGAGGCAAAAGACAGATGTGTGTTCGGAAGAAAAAGCATCAATTTAATCTGAAAAACACCACCAATTTACAAATCAAATCGGAATAAGACAGCGAGAAATACAACCACATCTTAAAAACATCTTCTCCCCACCCCTCCTTTCTTCCCAGGCTCACCTTTGCTCCTGATTTCTCTAACTCCTCCCCTGCAGAAGTGCAGGGGGGCAGGGGATGGAAGTTGAGTTCTGTTCATTACCTGTTGTTTTTGCTGCTCCTTCCTCCTCAGGGGGAGGGCTACTCACACTCTTCCCCGCTCCAGCATGGGGTCCCTCCCACAAGGCACAGTTTTCAGTTTTCCATGAACTTTCTTCAATGTGAATAATTCCTATGGGCTGCAGCTCTTCATGAATTACACCAGCATGGGTCCCTCCCATTGGCTGCAGTCCTTCATGAACAGACTGTTCCAGCACAGGCTTTCTCAGAGTCCCGGCCTTCTTCAGGTGCAGCCATCTGCTCTGGTGTGGGGTCCACCATAGGCTTTGGGTGGGCATCTGCTCCACTGGTCACCTTCATAGGCTCAGGGGGACAGCCTGACCTCTCACAACAGGATGCAGGAGTGGTCTCTGCTCCAGGGCACGTCCTCCCCTTCCTCATCCTTTCTCCAAGCAGACTCATGGTTTGCATAGGTATCCCCTGCACACAGTCTCCCCTTCCTCCTAGGTTTCCCTTCTTAAATATGTCATTCAGATTCACAGCCACCATCACTAATTGACTCAGCCTTGCTGGGGAGGTTGGTCTGACTGGGAGCTTCCAGCAGCCTCTCACAGGTGCCACCTCTCTAACCCCTTCCCCACTAACAAAACACCACCACACACAAACCCAGTACAACTGGAGAAATACATGTAAGAGTATATTTTGCTGATTAAGGATACCAATTAAACTCGGACACCAGAGTGAAAAGAGTAGGTGTATTTTAATGGTGATAACCAAATCATGTAACAGAGTAATACGGGAGACACACAGTAAGAAAAGGCAGAATAGTGCACCTAAAGCAACAAAAGGGAAATACCGGGTAATGCATCAAATCATTACTACCTGAGAGAGAGAATAGTGATTAGGAAAGATCCATCACCATTTGCATACATTGCCATCACCCAGACCCGCAGTGGCTGGGCAGCCCCGGTTACAGCGAGGGTTTGCAGAGCCTGTCCCGACAAGGGGGAAATCCTACGCGGTGCGTCCACCCATAGGTGAGGCTTCCAAAGTCGCTGTGAGTGGGTCCAGCCTTATATACCAGAGATAGGCAAGCCAGAATAGCTGGCACCTTTGTTTTGAGCAAAAAATTCCTGGTTTCATTCTCCTGTTGGATTCCACCCAAAGCCTGGCCAGGGCTCAGTGGGTGACACCAAAGGAGTTTCTAACAAGGCCAAATACCTGGGTTCTCAGCCTTGAACAAGGCTAAACAAGGGAAGTTGGATACATTCTCTCAGCATTTCATCCTCACTACTGATTATATTCTAGGCTGCATCTTTCACTAGCGAGCTTACACACTTTGTTAATGATTACACACTAAGTTGGGAGCTTCAGCTTGGCGCCTGTTGTTCAGGCTTTGGTATTTCAATGCTTTAGCACTTTTTACATCAGCATAAGTGGGTTGTTATAACTTAGTACAATACCTACTAGCACAAGGGTTTTCAGTTATCAAATATACAGGATTCATCTATAGATCAACTCTGACTTGAGCCAGTTGTCCAAGCCTTAGTACTTCAGAGTAATCCACAGAGACTTTCTAAATGAGTAAGACTACTCCTGGTCTGGGGGAACTTACTAAAATGAAAACTGTGAGAAGTAAAAAAACTCTATCAGAAACATCAAATATCCCTGCCTACTCTTGTTCTATTGGCATCCCTTGTTAGGTATTACTGGGGAAACACATGGGACTGAACAGACCCTTTATATGTCTCTCAAGCTTCTCTTAAGAATGTTGAAGTGTATTGTTTCATAGTTTGTGCCATCCTTGAATTTTGAGTTCAGCCTGGTAGACAGGTATTTTTAGGTACTTGGATGCAAACCTTTCCTCAGTGTCCAAAAATGTAATGAGGAGGTCTCTGGTGGTTACATGTAATGTTTAGGCTGTTCAAGGCATCTAGGTTTAACGGGATTTAGACAATCAAAGCTAAGCTGATTAAACACTGTGGAACATACCTTAGCCTGAAGGAGATACTATTTCTCTGTCTCTCATCTGTGGGGCATGGCAATATTACTGATAGTAGAGCACTTTCTGAAAACTGTAGTTGCATCCTGACTCTATGCATATATAATTTTCCAAGGTGTTTTGGTTTCCAAGGGAAGGAAACCTTGGGCATATAGATTAAAAGGTCTGTAAAAGAGGATATCATGAGGTGCCCTGTCATACACCTGCTGTACAATCAATGTACAGCTTTGATCTCTGTTTTCTTTTCCAACAGACATCTAGGAAGCTTCAGGACCATTAAAACCAAATTCTGTTCTTTTCTTGATTGGTTCCAATGAAATCATATTGATGTTTTCCATCCACCTAGCAGATATTTGCTATCAATGTCTGACAGCATTAGTCATTAAATACTGAATTTCTAGGCCTCAAGATATTCGCTTTGACAAAATGTGGGGAGAGAATTGATTTAAGTTATAAAAACATGAGTTATTGAGAAAAGTTCTACTACACTGGAGGCGCCTCACGTTTGGCTTAGAAAACACATGAGTAGCTATGACAAATATGAGGAGTTAGGAGAACCTGTCTCATCAAGAATGTTTGCCTGCCTATTTTTATGTTTAGCATTTCTACTCCAACATTTGTAAATCTTCTCAGAGATCATTTATTTGGCACACCTCTGACATGCTTCTGCTCAATGTTCAGTTCATAAAACTGCTTCTGTACTGGGCTGATGATATAATGCCTGGGAGTTAAAGTCTTGCTATCAGTTTTATGTTTCAGACTACACAACACGTCTATAAAAGGAGTCTACACATTTTAAGGCATGTAGAGATTCTGCTACATTTTTGAAATTAGTTAAGTTTGACCCTATTTTGTCTGCACAGATTCAGAGGTTAAATAACAGCTTGACATATAATCCTTTCAAAATGCTCTTACTCCTTGCCATAGACAGAGGTCCCATAGTATTTCTTTATTAGCTATTTTTTTTTCTTGGGAACCTTTTACTGTAGAGAAGGAGGAGTACAGGAAAATTATGTCAACACAGCAATTATTTATAGGCTAATATTGTCTCAGTGAATATAATAGGCTAAGCACTTGTATGTATGTTAATTGTCATTCAGGCACGTGATGAGTCACTACATGTAGCTGGTGGGAGATGGGTGGGGCAGATGAGCTCTGTAGCGCCTTGACTGATCCTCAGTCATGCTGAGTTGCTGTCTTCCAATTTCCTGCACTTTTATTAGGACATTTCATTTTTCCCTGGAGTCCTTGACTATTGCAGTGTCTTATCTTTAGTTTCTGTAATTTCTCACAGCGTGACAGCATTTTTTTTTTTCAATCAACTGGGCCAAAATCACACAGCACTGCTTCACAAAGCTGTGTCTTGGCTCACAGACAGATGGGCAATGTGTAATCCTGGTCATGGGGTATACATGTAGACTTCTTTCTGGGTACAGCTGTAATAGTAAGCTTTTTGAATTAGCTCTACAACTTACCTACAGCTTAAATAAATACATCATGCATACTAAAATACACTAAAACCAGACATGTATTCTCACTATATTAACTGCTGAGGTAGACATTTTCCTCTGACTGAGCTGTTGCACTATGATATTTTCTTGATTAAGGATCATATCGCTTTAGTGGTGATATGCAATCAAGAAGTGATTTTAAATCACTGAGGACGGTGTGTTTTCAGAATAAGATAGAAATCTTTGCTTACAAGATTCTTTAGTTAATGTAGCCAAGTGTAGCTTAATTCAGAGTCAGTTCTTGCAAAACTGTCTCCCTGTGCCGTCAAGTAGGTCTAGGCTTTTCTCCATGTCTCAGGTAGATCTCCATCTCTGAATGGCATCAGTAAAAACTAAATTGTTTCCTCAGATTTTTTTTTTCTTGATTTCTTACTCTTTCAAAAGGTAATGTGCTGTTCATCACAACTTTTTGTTGTTCTTTGGTGAAATGCTCAGATACAATTTCACAGGCTGGGCCAAAACAGGTTGAATAAGAAGAGCAGCCTGGCTGAACAGAGAGCTTTGGCTGGAACTCAGGAATAAAAACTTATGACCATTAGAAAAAGGGGCAGAAAACTCAAGAGGACTACAAAGATATTGTGAGGTTATGCAGGGAGAAAATTAGAAGGTCCAAAGCCCAGCTAGAACTTAATCTGGCTACTGCCATAAAATACAATTAAAACTGTTTCTATAAATACATTAATAACAAAAGGAGGGCTAAGGAGAATCTCCATCCTTTTTTTTTTTTTTTTTTTTTTTTTTTTTTTTGGATTGGGGAGGGGAAACATAGTTGTTACTGATTGTTACTGATTTGTTATTAATTTGAGCTGATGATTTTTGCTGATTTTGATAAGGAATGATTTGGCCTAATCAATTAAATGGAATTTCACAGGAATATTTATTTTATAGAAGAGAGTTGTATAATATTTTAAGTAGTCATAGAAATATTGTATTTAGTTTAAAATAATCATACAACCAGTTATGCTTCTACAAAGTCCTTTGTAAAGTCCCAGGCTAAGGCCACATAGGCTGGTAACAATCATTAACCAAATTTCCGTTCAAAGAATAAAACTCATGAAGAGATACTATTGTTAGACTGTTCAGTAAGGATGATTTATTGTCCTGCATACCAGGATGCTCTAAAAGTTACATTGTGAAAGGAACTCAAAGCATGATAAAATTGCAATGTGAGCCAAAGTCTTTGAGTCAAGGACACTGGAGGGTCTTTTTTCTGATTCAGTAGTCCGTGGTGGTTGCAAAAGCAGTCCCCAACTCATTTCAGGACTCAAGTGCACATAACTGGAAAGAGGTGGGAATAAGAAAATGGGTTACGGGAATTATTATGTTTATGAATGAGAACTTGATTATTATGTATTACTGTATCCTATATAATCAGCATGCTACATGGGTTAGGTGTGCATTGTTGGTGAGACAACTCCCCTATGCACCTGGTTGTTAATAAAGGAGTGTCTACTTATCTACATCACATTGGTGTCAATAGGTATTTTTATCTTGTTTTGGTGACATAGTGACAAAAGATGAGGAAAAGGCTGAGGTACTTAATGCTTTCTTCGCCTCAGTCTTTAATAGCAAGGCCAGTTTATCTCCAGTACCCAGCCCCGTGAGCTGGAAGACAGGGATGGGGAGCAGAATGAAGCCCCAGTAATCCAAAGGGAAATGGCTAGCAACCTGCTATACCACCTAGACACAGACAAGTATATGGGGCTGGATGGGATCCACCCAAGAGTACCGAGGGAGCTGGTAGAAGTGCTCACCAAGCCACTTTCAACTATTTATCAGCAGTTCTGGCTAACTGGGGAGGTGCCAGTTGTCTGGAGGTTAAAAAATGTGACGCTCATCTACAAGAAGGGCTGGAAGGAAGATCAGGGGTAGTACAGGCCTGTCAGTCTGACCTTGGTGCCAAGGAAGATTATGGAGCAGATCATCTTGAGTGCCACTGCATGGCATGTACAGGACAACCAGGTGATCAGGCCCAGTCGTCATGGGTTTATGAAAGGCAGGTCCTGCTTGACTAACCCGATGTCTTTCTATGACAAGGTGACCCACCCAGTGGATGAGGAAAAGGCTGTGGATGTTGTCTACCTAAACTTCAGTAAAGCCTTTGACACTGCTTCTCACAGCATTCTGCTGGAGAAATTGGCTGCTCACAGATTGGACGGGCATGCTCTTGATGGGTAAAAAAAAATATCTGTATGTCCAGGCCCAAAGAGTTGTGGTGAATGGAATTAAATCCAGCTGGTGGCCAGTCACAAGTGATATTCTCCAGGGATCAGTACTGGAGCCAGTTTTGTTTAGTATCTTCATCAATGATCTGGACAAGGGGATCAAGTGCACCCCCATCACTAAGTTTCCAAATGACACCGAGCTGTGTGGGAGTGTTGATGTGCTTGAGGGTAGGAAGGCTCTACAGAGAGATCTGGACAGGCTGGATCACTGGACCAAGGCCAACCATATGAGGTTACTGGGTCCTGCACTTAGGTCACAACAACCCCAGGAAACTGTAGGGGAAGAGTGGGTGGAAAGTTGCCTGGCAGAAAATGACCTGGGGGTGTTGGTCAACAGCTGGCTGAATATGAGATGGCAGTGTACCCAGGTGGCTAAGAAGGCCAATGGCATCCTGGCTTGTGTCAGAAATAGTGTGTTCAGAGAGACTAGAGAAGTGATCATTCCCCTGTACTCGACACTGGTGAGGCTGCACCTCAAATACTATGTTTGGTTTTGGGCCCCTCTCTACAAGAGAGACACTGAGGTACTAGAATATCCAGGGAAGGGCAATGAAACTGGTGAAGGATCTGGAAGAAAAAGTCTTGTGAGGATCAGCTGAGGGATCTGGGGTTGTTTAACCTGAAGAAAAGGAGGCTGAGGGGAGACCTTATTGTTCTCTACAACTACGTGAAAGAAGTTTGCAGCGATGTGGGTATTGATCTCTTCTCCCAAGTAACAAGAAAAAGGACAAAGGGATATGGCCTCAACTTGCACCAGAGGAGGTTTAGATTGGATATTAGAAAAAATTTCTTCACTGAAAGGATTATCAAGCATTGAAACAAGCTGCCCAGGGAAGTGGTATCCCTGGAGGTGTTTAAAACATGTGTAGATGTGGTGCTTGGGGACATGGTTTAGTGTTGGACTTGGCAGTGTTCATTTCAGGATTGGACTTTTCCAACCTAAATGATTGTATGATTCTATGATTCTAAAACTAGCTGAGGAATATGTTTGCTGAACTCTCATATTTAATTTCGCATAGTCCAAAATAGAAACTAACCAACACAATTCCATCAAGAAAAAAAATTACAAGATGATGTAATTAAGTTTTTTTAATTTGTCCCTTGTCTTAGAAGTTAAGGAAAGCATGTATTTGTTCAATAAAATTGCTACAAAAATTTGCATGTTGTCTATATCTACATAAAAGACTAAATCTGTTAAGACTATATGAATGTCCTTTGACTCTGTATCTTGCAAATATTAATGAAATATGAATTTATCATCCTTCATTATCAGCTCAGTTAATACCTGAATACCTCACCATACTTGAGAGAATTGAAAAATGAGTACTTGAGTAAATTCTTATTTGATGATAGATAACCATATGACTTCAGGGTTCAGGCTACATTCTGGTTTGACTTCAAGAGTTGGGTACATGGTTTCTTCTCTGCAACATGGCTGGACAATTTAGTCCCATACTATGTATAAAAACGTGTTGGGAATATTTTTTTCATACTGTCTGTCAACAGAAGCATATTAGGTAAGCATGCAACTTCCTTATAGCTTGTGGCAGTTTTCCAGTATGCATAAACAGCTTGGGTTTGATCCTTAAGGTTATTTGGGATTTATCGATATAAGAACTTGCTTCTGCTTCCCTGCCATTTTACTGAAAATGCTGTTATAATAAATGTTTGTATTGAATGGGGGTGTAAATAAACCAAAGGTGTTTATAGTGTTTACTATGAATGTCCTACAGTTTTGGAATTCAAGAGTATTATTTTTTTTCCAATAGTACACATCTTCAATATATGTGACAAGCATTACACTTACAGTAATGTTGCAAATAAGAACTAGAAATGCCAGTATTTCAGTTTGCTGAGGTATTACAAGTGTTTTCTTAATTATTGTTTGTTTCAGAAAAATAGATGGATCATTATATCTGTAAATTCTTGGCAGATCCTTCATTTCTAAAAGTGATTGACAGGAAAAGAGTATTTTGTGATTTAAATGACTTTGTATCTTTCCTTGATCTTTATATATTGCTGTATTTTAACTCTATGTAGTTTAGAAATGTGTTTTATTTAAATATATATAGTTTAGAATATTAGTACTTAATAACTTGAAGGATATCTCTTAAATTATTTTATAGCCATTGATTGTATTCCTGTTAATAAGTAAATACTAATGATACATGTAAAAATGTACCTAAATTTAGCTAAAATGCAATTTATGTAAATTCAAACCTTCCAAGATCATTTTATATCCAATTAAAAAAGAAGAAATGTTTAATGATACAAAATTCCACTCTTATTTTGAATTTTCTTATGTTTTTAAAATGAAAAGAAGGGTAATTGAACTCTAGAAAAAGCTGATCTAATAATTTGTTCCACATCTCTGATTTATCACTGAAGAGAATTTCCTAATTAGCATTTTGACCTTTATGAAGATAATTTTAGGGAATCTTTCATTAGTAGTAGACCAGTCAGGGGTTGTGGATTAAAACACTAACTTTTTCTGATGATGCAAAACCTACTTTAAAAAGTTTTCGGAAGTTCCCATATTTACTTAATTTGGTAACTGATTTACAGCAAACCACTCTATGTCAAGTTATCACTGCTAATAGAATGAAGGTTAATGGTCTGTGGGCAAAATTTCATTCAGATTCTTAGGATGGGTTTTTCAAATCAGATTTCCTAGCTCGGTAGAACTGGCATTGTTTCTTGAAATACTTTTTGAAAATATTATTAAAATCAAAAGCATCAAGAATTAATAAGATGTGTCATTACATACCAAGAACCTCTGATCTCTGTGCATTGTCTCCCTGAAGATCAGAAGTGGTGAGTTCTGTCTGTATATGTGCCATACACAGAATAGAGGACACCATCTAATTATTTACAGATATTTTCTTTCTGTTTTCATATTCTAGACAAAAATCAACACGTGTCTGACCATTTCTCTCAGTAAGCAGTCTGTATAAACTAATTGTTGTGATGCTAAGTTCTCAGAGGCTTCAACTTCAGTCAGTATATGTTTCAACAGAAACACTCCGACATTTGATTGTAATGACTTATTCTGCAAGAGTTTTAAGGGGCAGTAAATAACAAGCTATTTTAGGGCACTACTGTAGGTATAACTCTCATTACAGTTACTGATGGAGCTTGGTGCCTGGTTGTTATGCCAAGAGAATATTAACACATGTTCTATTCATTCCTATTCAGTGAAGCACATAGGAGTTTAGGCTTAGGTCATGTTGAATGTAGTGGGAGTTTTGTTTGTTTAGGTTGTGATATTGAGACTTTTTGGCAATCATTATAATATTTGTTTGTTGGTATAGGCGTAAGAGACTCTTTGTGTGTGCCTTGCCACTCCTGAGCTCTAGAGAGGGTCCTGAGAACCACAGACCAGTGAGCCTCACTTCTGTCACAGCTAAGACGGCAGAGGCTGTTGTATGAAATAAGACTATATAAGAAGAGTAAATGCAGAGAGTCTGATGGGAAAGTGACAATATGGCTTCTCTAAAGGGAAATATTGGCTCAGCGCGCAAAAATCATGACAGGACAGGCAAAGTGAAATCTCCAAATTTGCAAGTTAAAGGAGTTTGTAAAGTCACGAGGCCGCATATATATTTCAATACCCACAATACAAAAACTGGGAAGCACTTCAGTGAGATTGATTTGAGACAGATAGTATACACAGTAGGCAATAAACTTGTGTGACTTGGTGCACAGGAAATTGTGGGAGGAGGCAGCAATAGTAGGTTCAAGTAGCAGGTTCAAGGGATTAGATAAATCCCTGGACAGCAGATCCAGAAATGAATACTAACAGGACCAGGCAGAAATATACTAACAACCCAATCACAATCAGGACTGTCCAGCCAGTATAAGAAGAACAGACAGCAGAAGATGATTGGGTTTGCATGCTTTGCATATTTCTAAATAGCATTTCCTAATGCCATCTGAAGAGACAAAATAGATGGCCCATGCTTCTGAGAGAGCAGGACATTTCTTACGTTCATATTTTGCAGGTAGCACTGCTCTCCATTCTTTCATTTGCTGTTCAGGTAGTTTGGAATTCAATCTGTTATTTCTTGAGTAACTCTGCTTTGCTGAGGGCCATTTTGTGCCACCTTCCAAAGAGCACTCATTACTCTAAGAAGCTTCACTGATTTTGGCCTGTAAAAATTCCTTCATTCTGATATAAAACATGGCACAGCTGAGACCCTGGAGACTTTCTTCGCTTAAAATATAGAACCTTACTGAGTTAAAGGAAAAGCACAATAAGTGTCAACATTTCCAGTTCAACATCCTTGACTTTGTGTGCGTCTAGCTCTCTAGTCCTCAGGCAAGTGCAATTCTTTTCTTTCAGTGATGGAACATAAACCGCAGTGCACATAATCTATAGGTTTAGGCTCTTGATATATAGAAAAAAATTTCTTCATATTGGCAAATTGCACTGTGTTTTACGTTGGAACTAGGTAGTTGTTAGTTGTGTGTAAAGTTGTTACTCAAAAGGTCTGTAGGCAGTGAGAAGTATGTTTACCTGGTAGGAAAGATATGAGGAAAGTGTAGAATCAACCATTAGTATGTAGCTGGTGTACAATTTCTTTGAAAACTGAAACTGCCCAAAGGACTTTTTAATGACCACAGTCATATACCCCATATAAAGACTCGTAATCCTAGCAGCCAGATATACTATTCAGCCACAACCCAGTGTTGATTCCTGATAAAAGAGCCACTTTCTGAATGCTGATACATCATGCATCATGATAATGCTTATTTATTTATTTTTGAACTACATGTTCAAGAAGAAAACTAATACCTCTGTAAGTCCCCAAAGTGCAGGAGGCTGTGGGAATTGATGCATATTGTGAGTTAAAGCATATCATTACTGACTTGGTTGTGGCATGTATTTGCAATTTATCATGGAGGGTCACTTGGTAAGATCATAACACAATGGCATATTTACTTTTCCTAACAGTTTGACTTGCATCTAAAAATGACATTTACAATTTTATTATAATTCTTTACTGAAAATTTGTTTTAAAATGATAACCACAAAATGACAAAAAACAGTTGTGAGATAAAATAATAGTTTTCTGTGAAAACAGAGTTGAAGACCTCATGAAAATTGGTCTTCCTTTCTCCCTTACATGTTCCTGTGTGTATAAAAAAGGTTTGTGTTTATGGAGATATCTGAGTTCAGATAGTAATATTAAATAAGCTGGCTAATGCTGGGAAAAGTCTGATATTCAGTCAAATCTTGTGACAGTTTTCTTCTCCCAGCTTTTCATCCGTTCCTGAATTTTCTAATGGAGATTAGGCTTTTTAGGGTTTTAAAGACACAGTTCAGAGAGTCTTTGCCTATTTCTTTCTTCTTACACTTTCCCTTCCCTTTTCCCTCCCCCATATCCCCACATCACTCATATGGACATGGTGATCAAACACATGCTTCCTTAGAATCCAAAAGTAATGGAAAATACATTATGGAAAAAATCCACAGTTAGAATAAACAGTAAGGACGTAAACTCTGCTATAACTCAGCAGATCAGTAAGATTTAAAAAAAAAAAAAAAAAAAATTAACAAGAGAGTGTTTTTCTCAACAATGTCTGCAGTAGTTTGGATTTGTTTAGACTGCTGTGAGACCCTTATTTTTTCAGAAAAAGTGGAAGCAACAAAAAGGTATCTTGTCTTAAGCACCGGGCTTGGAAAAAATAGTTTTTACTGTAGAAATGCTACACATAAATAATGATATATTTTCTTTATACCTGATAGGCTGCTTCAAGCAGTAAGTCAAAGACTAACAATACAGATATTTTTGTATATCTGTGTATCCTTTAGATATGGCATTAAAAATATTTTAAAATGAAGGAATGGAGATTGGTTTTGCAAAATCTGCTTACACTGCCTTCTTTTACAATGGTTTGTGACTGGCTTCCTTTTCACCTGAAAGAACAGACTGAAAAGAACTCTGAGAAAAGGTTATGCATTATTATCTTTCTGATAAATGCACAGGGGAAGGTAAAGGCTGCAAATATCATATATTGTAATGAATGTCAGTAATCCATTTTAGTGGAATCTCAAGCCTGGGAGAAGTGGAGCAAGTTCTGGTAAACAAACTCCAGATGGAGATAGCAGAAAATGTGAAGAGAAATGGCACTCAGAGGGAATACCTCCAAAATATAATTAAGGGGGCAGAATGACTCAAACAAGATGAATGAGCCAGTATTTCACTTACAGTCTTGAGACTGTTTTGATGTTTGGGGTTTTTGAGGATTTGAGTTTATATATTTTTTCTCAAAATAAAATCCAACTGCTGCTTTACCACTAGCATTTAGATTTGAAATCTGTGACATTTGTTAGTCTTTATGACAGTATTCCTACATCTTCTACTTTTTATTTTCCTGTTGATTAGGTAATATGAATTTGCATATAAAACCACGCTCTCCCTAGTTAAAATATCAGAATTAAACTGCAAACTGTTGTATTACATTGGGGTTTTTTGATACTGCCAGTCAAGTATGATGAAGATTAGTGAAATAAGATCTATTAATGGCCCAATGATGAACCTAGCAATTCCTTTTAACCCTGTATATTTGCTCCTTGATGTGTATTATCTTCTTTTCAGCCTTTTTGATCATTGTGGAACTTGCAGCTACAGCATACAAAAAATTTACAGCCGAGCTCAAAAAAACCAAGTGGACAAATTCATGGATGTAGAACCCATCAAAGGCTGTTAAACACAAAGGTAACTCACCTGACTCAGGAAGTGTCTAAGCCTCAGGGTGGCTAAAGACACAGCTTACTGTCATAAATGCTTTCTCTTGCTTACACTCTTTTAAGTATGTATTACTGACCATGGGATTAGACTTTTGATCCTATATGTCTATTCCAAAAATGGACAAAAAAATAACTCCAAAATGTGCACTCAGCTGACAAAACTAGGGTGAAGTTACTTCACTGAAGTGAACTCTGTAGACTTGAAGGCTTAGGAAAAGGCAGATTTGTTTGATGCATTTTTCTTCCTGATTATAGTGTTTCTGAATAAATACATGTCTCTGTGACAAATAACTTTTTTTTTTTTTCAGTGAGCAACTGATTGCAATTTACCCATGCTGTAAGATCTTTCACCAGCAATGCCATTGCATGTGTGTAATAGAGAAAAAGTGATTTTGTGTACTTTGAGACACCCTGAACCAAACTTTATTAGAATGAATCCTACCCCCAAAAATATTTTATCCATAGATGTAACTTATTTCAATTGATTTTAATAATCAGGTGAATATTAGAAAAAAAAGAAACATTCCAAAACTCAAACCCCAAACTAAACAGAAACAAAACCCTCCAAATAATAATTTGAAAAATCAAAACATTAGGTCTTAGCAAAATCTTAAACTTCATTCTGCAACATTTGGATTTTAATTTTCATCAGCAGGCTAAGCAGGATCACAGCTGTTTGGGAAGACAGGATCTACAATCAGCACAATCTTGTTAAATTAGATAAATGGATTGAATTCTGAAAAATGACCAGACATGGAGAAGAAAGTGAGAGAGTTTAAGTGATAGATTAGTGTCAAATGCACAAAGGTAGAAGAGAGAAGTTGTCTAGGTAGTTGTATCACAGAGTAACATTCAGGGATTAAAAAGAATGAAGAGACAGTTATTCAGATGTGCTGCATTAGGATTATCACATGAGAAAATGAAGGAAGATTGCTCTGATCTATGACTGATTCTACCAGAAGCTAGGTATTTGATATATGTTTTCTGAAAGAAAAAAAAAAAAAAAAAAGAAAAAACCCCAGTACAGTAGAGGTCAGAAGGCACCTAAAATATTAGAAATCTTGGAAAATAAAATCATTGAATCGGAGAATAATTTGGGTTGGAAGAGACCTTTAAAAGTTTTTTAGTACAACCTTGCCTGTATTGAACAGGAACATCTCTTCAGCTAGATCAGGTTTCTCAGAGCCCCATCCAATCTGACCTTGAACCATCTTTATGATGAGTTTATGCCACAAAATAAAACCTAGATCTAAATCTGCATTTAAATCAAGAATCTGAATTTATCTATAGATTTCAACTTTCTTTGTATCTAGAATATAAGAGACTTACCTGTGTTTACCATTTTGGATTTAGTATGAAGAAAGCAAGACAGAAAATGAGAAAGTAATATTTTCTTTTAACAGCAAGTGCTTGCTATAGTAGAAACAAAATGCTTTGGATGTCCCACAAGAGCCTTTCAGGTAAAAAAAAAAAAAAAAAAAAAAAAAAAGAGAGAAACAGTATGAGTTTGAAGGTTATGGAAAATGAATACTGTGTTCTGATTTTGTTGAAATACCTGATAACTCTGAAAATGCAAGACTTCTGAGAAAGTTAAGGAGTGATTGCTTTGTCTGATAATATAAAAAATAGTACATTTCTCTCTTAATTTGGATCATGTGTTTAATAAAAGCTAATGTCAGAGGTGGAAGGCCAATGAATTAAAGACAGTACTGTAATCATCCCCTTGGTGCCTCATCTTTCATATCTCTTTGAACTGAATACTTTTCTTTTTGACAGTTTTTGAGCAAATAAAGCTTTTTTGTTGCCTGAACTCCTCTGGGTGAATAAATGGAAAATCAACATTCTGCTGGATTTTATAGATTATTTAAACAGACTTAATAGGATTCTCTTATATCACAAAAAAGAATATAAGAATGAAATGTAATGAGGTGAAGATACTGTACAATATAATTAATTAGAAATAATATTTAATCAGTAAAATTACATTGCTGTG